AATCCCCAAATATTTCCCCAAATCCCCAAAAATTCGCCCCAAATCCCCAATTTTTTCCCCAAAATCCCCAATTTTTTCCCTAAATTTGCCCCAAATTTTCCCAAAATCCCCTAATTTTTGCCCCAAAACCCCCAAAATCCCAATTTTTCCCCCAATTTTCCCAAAACCGCCGTTTTTGCCCCCAGCACAGCCTGGAGCCGACGGCGCGGCTGCTCCGGGAGCGGCTGCGGAGGGAGGTGCAGCAGAAACGGGGCCAAAAACGGGAAAATCGGGAAAAAAACGCCGGAAAAGCGGAAAAAACCGCGGGAAAAGCGGAAGAAAACGCGGAAAAATGGGGAAAAATCACAGAAAAACGGGAAAAAAACGCGGAAAAACGGGAATTAAACACGGGAAAATGGGGAAAAAAACGCCGGAAAAGCGGAAAAACCCGCGGGAAGAGCGGAAGGAAACGCGGAAAAATGGGAAGAAACGGCGGAAAATCGGGAAAAAACCGCGGAAAATCGGGAAAAAACCGCGGAAAATCGGGAAAAAACCGCGGAAAATCGGGAAAAAACCGCGGAAAATCGGGAAAAAACCGCGGAAAATCGGGAAAAAACCGCGGAAAATCGGGAAAAAACCGCGGAAAATCGGGAAAAAACCGCGGAAAATCGGGAAAAAACCGCGGAAAAATGGGAAGAAACGGCGGAAAATCGGGAAAAAAAGGCAGGAAAATGGGAAAAAAAGCTGGAAAATTGGGGGAAAACGGCGGAAAATCGGGAAAAAAAGCCGGGAAAGGAAGAGGGGGAGGGGGAGAGCCCCTCCCCCCACCCGAAAGCTGCGGAGTTCCAATAAAAAATTCCCAAAAAATTCCCCAAAAATTCCCCAAAGGAAATGGGGCAGGAAATGGGGCAGGAATGGGGCAGGAGTGGGGCTGGGAATGGGGCAGAAATGGGGCAGGTCAGTTTAAGATCTATGGGTCAGGTTTGTATCTGTGGGTCAGTTTCGGATCTATGGGTCAGATTCAGATCTATAGGTCCGTTTGGATCTGTGGGTCGGTTTCGGATCTATGGGTCAGATTCGGATCTATAGGTCCGTTTGGATCTGTGGGGCCGGTTCAGATCTATGGGTCAGGTTCACATCCGTGGGTCAGGGCTGGATCTGTGGCTCTGGTTCAGATCTGTGGGTCAGGGATGGATCTGTGGGTCAGGGGTCCATGGGGCCGGTTCAGATCTATAGGTTCCGGTTGGATCTATGGGGCCGGATCGGATCCATGGGGCTGTTTGGGATCCGTGGGGCCGTTTCAGGTCCAGTTCGAATCCGTGGGTCAGGGATCCATGGGGCCAGTTTGGATCTGTGGGGCTGGTTCAGATCTATGGGTCACTTTTGGATCTATGGGTCAGTTTTGGATCCACGGGTCCGGTTTGGATCTGTGGGTCAGGGATCTATGGGGCCGGTTCGGATCCGTGGGTCAGGTTCAGACCTGTGGGTCAGGTTCGGATCCACGGGACCAGTTGGGATCCGTGGGGCCGGTTAGAATCTGTGGGTCAGGGCTGGATCTGTGGGTCAGGGCTGGATCTGTGGGTCAGAGATCTGTGGGTCCGGTTCAGATCCGTGGAGCCAGTTTGGATCCACGGGGCCGGTTCGGATTCATGGATCAGGGATCTGTGGGGCAGATTGGGATCCGTGGGGCCGGTTCGGGTCCAGTTCGGATCCGTGGGTCAGGGATCCATGGGGCCGGTTTGGATCTGTGGGGCTGGCTCAGATCTGTGGGTCACTTTTGGATCTATGGGTCAGTTTTGGACCCATGGCTCTGGTTCAGATCTGTGGGTCAGGGATCTATGGGGCCAGTTCGGATCCGTGGGTCAGTTCGGATCTATGGGTCACTTTTGGATCTATGCGTGACTTTCGGATCCGTGGGTCCGGTTAGAATCTGTGGGTCAGGGCTGGATCTGTGGGTCAGGGATGGATCTGTGGGTCAGGGCTGGATCTGTGGGTCAGGGATGGATCTGTGGGTCAGAGATCTGTGGGTCTGGTTCAGATCTATAGGTTCCGGTTGGATCTATGGGGCCAGTTGGGATCCGTGGGTCTGGTTTGGATCTATGGGGCCGGTTCTGATCTGTGGGTCTGGGATCTATGGGGCCAGTTGGGATCCGTGGGTCAGTTTTGGATCTGTGGGTCAGGGATGGATCTGTGGGTCCGGTTCAGATCCGTGGAGCCAGATTGGATCCACGGGGCCGGTTCAGATCCGTGGGTCAGGGATCTGTGGGGCCGGTTCGGATCTGTGGGTCGGATCCACGGGTCAGGTTTGGATCCGTGGGTCAGGTTTGGATCCGTGGCTCCAGTTCGGGTCCAGTTTGGCTCTGTGGGGCCGGTTCGGATCTATGGGTCAGTTTTGGATCCACGGTTCCGGTTCGGCTCCGGGGGGTTCCGGGGGTCAGGGATCCGTGGGGCCGGTTCGGATCTGTGGGGCCGGTTCGGGTCCGTGGGTCAGGGATCTGTGGGTCAGGTTCGGGTCCCGTTCGGCTCCGCGGGTCAGGGATCTGTGGGTCAGGTTCGGATCTGTGGGGCCGGTTCGGATCTGTGGGTCAGGGATCTGTGGGTCAGTTTTGGATCCCTGGGTCAGTTTTGGATCTATGGGTCAGGTTCGGGTCCCGGTTCGGCCCCGGGGGTCCGCCCGGGAGCCGGCGGGGGAGGGGGAGGGGCCGAACCGGACCCGAGCCGCGGATCCGAAACCGAGACCGGGATCGGAACCGGAACCGGGGATCCAATCCTGCCCCATAGATCCGAACCTGCCCCATAGATCTGAAACTGACCCACGGATCCAAACCTGCCCCATAGATCCGAAACCGAGACAGGGAACCGAACCGGAACCGGGAACCAAACCGGAACCAGGGATCCGAACCTGCCCCACGGATCCAAACCGGCCCCACAGATCTGAAACTGCCCCATAGATCTGAAACTGCCCCACGGATCCAAACCTGACCCATAGATCCGAACCTGACCCACGGAACCAAACCCAAGCCGCGGATCCGAACCAGAACCGGGAACCGAACCGGAACCAGGGATCCAAACCTGACCCATAGATCCGAAACTGCCCCATAGATCTGAACCGGCCCCATGGATCCAAACCTGACTCATGGATCCAAACCTGACCCATGGATCCAAAACTGACCCAGGGATCCAAAACTGCCCCACGGATCTGAACCAGAGACAGGGAACCGAACCGGCCCCAGGGAACCAAACCTGACCCATAGATCCAAAACAGACCCACGGATCCAAACCTGACCCAGGGATCCAAACCTGACCCAGGGATCCAAAACTGACCCATGGAACCGAACCTGACCCCGGGATCTGAACCGAGACCAGGGATCCGAACTGACCTCAGATCCAAACTGGTCCCATGGATCCAAACCTGACCCCCAGATCCATCTCAACCTTTTATCCCAGCCCGATATCCCAGCCCCACAACCCCGGATCCCATTGCCCTTGCAGGCTCCTCGTGGGGCGCCGTGGCTGTGCCCACATCCCAAATCCCAAATCCCAAATCCCCAGCCCCACATCCCAAATCCCAAATCTCCAATCCCACATCCCCAATCCCAAATCCCCAACCCCACATCCCAAATCCCAAATCCCCTAACCCAAACCCCAAATCTCCCACCCCACAGGCTCCTCGAGGGGCGCCACGGCTGTGCCCCACATCCCAAACCCCAAACCCCAATCCCACACCCCAAACCCCACATCCCACCTCCCCAATCCCACATCCCACATCCCAAATCCCACATCCCAAACCCCAAACCCCACATCCTGACCCCAAATCTGCGCCCCGCAGGCTCCTCGAGGGGCGCCATGGCGGCGCTGGCCCCGGCGCTGGCGGCCTGGCTGCTGCTGAGCCCCACATCCCAAACCCCAATCCCACACCCCAAACCCCACATCCTGACCCCAGATCTCCGCCCCGCAGGCTCCTCGTGGGGCGCCATGGCTGAGCCCCAAATCCCAAACCCCAAACCCCAAATCCCCAATCCCACACCCCAAACCCCACATCCTGACCCCAAATCTCCGCCCCTCAGGCTCCTCGAGGGGCACCACGGCTGTGCCCCAAATCCCAAACCCCAAATCCCCAATCCCACACCCCAAACCCCACATCCTGACCCCAAATCCCAAACCCCAAATCCCCAATCCCACACCCCAAACCCCACATCCTGACCCCAAATCTTCGCCCCGCAGGCTCCTCGAGGGGCACCACGGCTGTGCCCCACATCCCAAATCCCCAATCCCACATCCTCGGCGCGCTGCCAGCCCGGCGTCCTCCTGCCCGTGTGGCAGCCGGACGAGCCGGCGGCCGGCGACAAGGCGGCGCGCGCCATCGTCTACTTCGTGGCCATGATGTACCTGTTCCTGGGCGTGTCCATCATCGCCGACCGCTTCATGGCGTCCATCGAGGTGATCACGTCGCGCGAGAAGGAGATCACCGTCACCAAGGCCAACGGCGAGACCAGCGTGGGCACGGTGCGCATCTGGAACGAGACCGTCTCCAACCTGACGCTGATGGCGCTGGGCTCGTCGGCGCCCGAGATCCTGCTGTCGCTCATCGAGGTGTGCGGGCACCGCTTCCAGGCTGGCGAGCTGGGCCCGGGCACCATCGTGGGCAGCGCCGCCTTCAACATGTTCGTGGTGATCGCCGTGTGCGTCTACGCCATCCCGGCGGGCGAGAGCCGCCGCATCAAGCACCTGCGCGTCTTCTTCGTCACGGCCTCGTGGAGCATCTTCGCCTACATCTGGCTCTACCTGATCCTGGCCGTCATCACGCCGGGCGTGGTGCAGGTGTGGGAGGCCTTCCTCACGCTGCTCTTCTTCCCGGCGTGCGTGGTGTTCGCCTGGGCGGCCGACAAGCGCCTGCTCTTCTACAAGTACGTCTACAAGCGCTACCGCGCCGACCCGCGCAGCGGCATCATCATCGGCGCCGAGGCCGAGCGCCCGCCCAAGGACCCCGAGGCCGACGGCGGCTTCCCGGCGCTGGCCGAGCCCGAGCCCGGCGCCGCCGCGCCGTCGCCGACGCCCGAGGAGAAGGAGCTGGACGAGAGCCGGCGCGAGGTGATCCAGATCCTGAAGGAGCTGAAGCAGAAGCACCCGGAGAAGGAGCTGGAGCAGCTGCTGGACGCCGCCAACTACATGGCGCTGGTGCACCAGCAGAAGAGCCGCGCCTTCTACCGCATCCAGGCCACGCGCCTCATGACCGGCGCCGGCAACGTGCTCAAGAAGCACGCGGCCGAGGCGGCGCGGCGCTCGCCCGCCCTGCCCGGCGAGGACGACGAGGAGGACGAGGAGGACGAGGCGTGCAGCCGCATCTTCTTCGAGCCGTGCCTGTACCACTGCCTGGAGAACTGCGGCTCGGTGACGCTGGCCGTGGCGTGCCAGCAGGGCCTGGGCGCCAACCAGACCTTCTACGTGGACTTCCGCACCGAGGACGGCTCGGCCAAGGCGGGCTCGGACTACGAGTACAGCGAGGGCACGCTCATCTTCAAGCCGGGCGAGACGCGCAAGGAGCTGGCCATCGGCATCATCGACGACGACATCTTCGAGGAGGACGAGCACTTCTTCGTGCGCCTGCTGAACCTGCGCGTGGGCGACGCCGAGGGCATGTTCGAGGCCGACTCCGAGGACCACCCCAAGGGCAAGCTGGTGGCGCCGCTGGTGGCCACCGTCACCATCCTGGACGACGACCACGCCGGCATCTTCGGCTTCCGGGAGCGCTCGGTGCGCGTCAGCGAGTGCCAGGGCCACGTGGAGGTGACGGTGGTGCGCAGCTCGGGCGCCCGCGGCACCGTCATGGTGCCCTTCCGCACCGTGGAGGGCACGGCGCGCGGCGGCGGCGTCGACTACGAGGACGCCAGCGGGGAGCTGGAGTTCCGCAACGACGAGACGGCGTGAGCGCCGGGGGGAGGAGGAGGAGGATGGAGGGAGGGAGGAGGATGGAGGGAGGGAGGAGGAAGAGGATGGTTGGGTTGTGGGGTGGGCTGAGGAGGAAGAGGATGGATGATGGATCATGGATGGATGGATGGATGGAAGAGGAAGAGGACGGTTGGGTGAAGAGGAAGAGGATGCTTGGGTTGTTGGTTGGGTGGAGATGGAGGAGGAAGAAGATTGTTGGGTCATGGGTTGGGTTGAGGAGGAAGAGGATGGTTGGGTCATGGGTTGGGTTGAGAAGAGGATGGTTGGGTTGTTGGTTGGGTTGAGGAGGAAGAGGATGGATGGATGGAAGAGGAAGAGGATGCTTGGGTTGTTGGTTGGGTGGAGATGGAGGAGGAAGAAGATTGTTGGGTCATGGGTTGGGTTGAGGAGGAAGAGGATGGTTGGGTCATGGGTTGGGTTGAGAAGAGGATGGTTGGGTTGTTGGTTGGGTTGAGGAGGAAGAGGATGGATGGATGGAAGAGGAAGAGGATGCTTGGGTTGTTGGTTGGGTGGAGATGGAGGAGGAAGAAGATTGTTGGGTCATGGGTTGGGTTGAGGAGGAAGAGGATGGTTGGGTCATGGGTTGGGTTGAGAAGAGGATGGTTGGGTTGTTGGTTGGGTTGAGGAGGAAGAGGATGGATGGATGGAAGAGGAAGAGGATGCTTGGGTTGTTGGTTGGGTGGAGATGGAGGAGGAAGAAGATTGTTGGGTCATGGGTTGGGTTGAGGAGGAAGAGGATGGTTGGGTCATGGGTTGGGTTGAGAAGAGGATGGTTGGGTTGTTGGTTGGGTTGAGGAGGAAGAGGATGGATGGATGGAAGAGGAAGAGGATGCTTGGGTTGTTGGTTGGGTGGAGATGGAGGAGGAAGAAGATTGTTGGGTCATGGGTTGGGTTGAGGAGGAAGAGGATGGTTGGGTCATGGGTTGGGTTGAGAAGAGGATGGTTGGGTTGTTGGTTGGGTTGAGGAGGAAGAGGATGGATGGATGGAAGAGGAAGAGGATGCTTGGGTTGTTGGTTGGGTGGAGATGGAGGAGGAAGAAGATTGTTGGGTCATGGGTTGGGTTGAGGAGGAAGAGGATGGTTGGGTCATGGGTTGGGTTGAGAAGAGGATGGTTGGGTTGTTGGTTGGGTTGAGGAGGAAGAGGATGGATGGATGGAAGAGGAAGAGGATGCTTGGGTTGTTGGTTGGGTGGAGATGGAGGAGGAAGAAGATTGTTGGGTCATGGGTTGGGTTGAGGAGGAAGAGGATGGTTGGGTCATGGGTTGGGTTGAGAAGAGGATGGTTGGGTTGTTGGTTGGGTTGAGGAGGAAGAGGATGGATGGATGGAAGAGGAAGAGGATGCTTGGGTTGTTGGTTGGGTGGAGATGGAGGAGGAAGAGGATGGTTGGACGATGGATGGCTGGAAGAGGAAGAGGATGGTTGGGTCATGGGTTGGGTTGAGGAGGAAGAGGATGGTTGGGTTGTTGGGTGGGCTGAGGAGGAAGAGGATGGTTGGGTTGTTGGGTGGAGATGGAGGAGGAAGAGGATGGATGATGGATGGATGGATGGAAGAGGAAGAGGATGGTTGGATTGTTGGTTGGGTTGAGGAGCAGGAGGATGGTTGGGTTGAGGAGAAAAAAAATGGAGGATGGAGGAGGAAGAGGATGGATGGATGGATGGATGAGGAAGAGGATGGTTGGGTTGTTGGTTGGGTCATTGGTTGGGTGGAGATGGAGGAGGAAGAGGATGGTTGGATGATGGATGGGTGGAAGAGGAAGAGGATGGTTGGGTTGTTGGTTGGGTTGAGGAGGAAGAGGATGGTTGGGTTGTGAGGGGAGATGGAGGAGGAAGAGGATGGTTGGATCATGGTGCTTCCCGGCGCTGGCCGAGCCCGAGCCCGGCGCCGCCGCGCCGTCGCCGACGCCCGAGGAGAAGGAGCTGGACGAGAGCCGGCGCGAGGTGATCCAGATCCTGAAGGAGCTGAAGCAGAAGCACCCGGAGAAGGAGCTGGAGCAGCTGCTGGACGCCGCCAACTACATGGCGCTGGTGCACCAGCAGAAGAGCCGCGCCTTCTACCGCATCCAGGCCACGCGCCTCATGACCGGCGCCGGCAACGTGCTCAAGAAGCACGCGGCCGAGGCGGCGCGGCGCTCGCCCGCCCTGCCCGGCGAGGAGGACGAGGAGGACGAGGAGGACGAGGCGTGCAGCCGCATCTTCTTCGAGCCGTGCCTGTACCACTGCCTGGAGAACTGCGGCTCGGTGACGCTGGCCGTGGCGTGCCAGCAGGGCCTGGGCGCCAACCAGACCTTCTACGTGGACTTCCGCACCGAGGACGGCTCGGCCAAGGCGGGCTCGGACTACGAGTACAGCGAGGGCACGCTCATCTTCAAGCCGGGCGAGACGCGCAAGGAGCTGGCCATCGGCATCATCGACGACGACATCTTCGAGGAGGACGAGCACTTCTTCGTGCGCCTGCTGAACCTGCGCGTGGGCGACGCCGAGGGCATGTTCGAGGCCGACTCCGAGGACCACCCCAAGGGCAAGCTGGTGGCGCCGCTGGTGGCCACCGTCACCATCCTGGACGACGACCACGCCGGCATCTTCGGCTTCCGGGAGCGCTCGGTGCGCGTCAGCGAGTGCCAGGGCCACGTGGAGGTGACGGTGGTGCGCAGCTCGGGCGCCCGCGGCACCGTCATGGTGCCCTTCCGCACCGTGGAGGGCACGGCGCGCGGCGGCGGCGTCGACTACGAGGACGCCAGCGGGGAGCTGGAGTTCCGCAACGACGAGACGGCGTGAGCGCCGGGGGGAGGAGGAGGAGGATGGAGGGAGGGAGGAGGATGGAGGGAGTGAGGAGGAAGAGGATGGTTGGGTTGTTGGGTGGGCTGAGGAGGAAGAGGATGGTTGGGTTGTTGGGTGGAGATGGAGGAGGAAGAGGATGGATGATGGATGGATGGATGGAAGAGGAAGAGGATGGTTGGATTGTTGGTTGGGTTGAGGAGCAGGAGGATGGTTGGGTTGAGGAGAAAAAAAATGGAGGATGGAGGAGGAAGAGGATGGATGGATGGATGGATGAGGAAGAGGATGGTTGGGTTGTTGGTTGGGTCATTGGTTGGGTGGAGATGGAGGAGGAAGAGGATGGTTGGATGATGGATGGGTGGAAGAGGAAGAGGATGGTTGGGTTGTTGGTTGGGTCATTGGTTGGGTGGAGATGGAGGAGGAAGAGGATGGTTGGATCATGGATGATGGATGGATGGAAGAGGAAGAGGATGGTTGGGTTGTTGGTCAGGTGGAAATGGAGGAGGAAGAGGATGGATGATGGATGGAAAGGGAAGATGATGATGGTGGACAATGATGATGATGATGGTGGATGATGATAACGATGGTGATAACGATGATTATAATGATGATGATGGTGATGATGATGGTGGTGGATGACAATGACGATGATGATGATGATGATGATGACGATGGTGATGATGATTATTATAACAATGGTGATGATGATGACGATGATGGTGGTGATGATGACGGTGGTGGATGATGATGGCGATGATGACGATGATGATGATGATGGTGGTGGCGCTGAGGCCGAGGCCGCCCCGTGTCCCGCCCCAGGAAGACGCTGCAGGTGAAGATCGTGGACGACGAAGAGTACGAGAAGAAGGAGAACTTCTTCATCGAGCTGGGGACGCCGCGCTGGCTCAAGCGCGGCATCTCGGGTACGGGGACACGCGGGGTCACGCGGGGTCACGGGGTCTCACCGCTGTCCCCCCCCTCTCCTCAGCTCTTCTGCTCGCCCAAGGTAGGAGCCTTCGGCCTCGGACGCGTCCCATGACCGTGGATGTGCCATGACGTGTATGTCGCCGTGTGCCACGCCGTGTCCCCGTGCCGCGGCCCCGTGAGGGAGGCGTCCCCGTGGTCCCGCACGTCGTCCCCCTGTCCCCGCGCTTGTGTCACCTTCCCATGGGTGTTCGGTGTCCCCGTCACCGTGTGCCGTGTCCCCATGGCCCCACCGTGTCCCCGTATCCCACCGTGTCCCCATGACCGTGTCCCCATGTCCCAACGTGTCCCCGTGTCCCACCGTGTCCCCCATGGTGTCCCCACGCCGTGTCCCCCACCATGACCCCATGTCTCCACGTGCCCCTGATGTCCCCCCATGTCCCCATTGTGTCCCCAAGTTGTGTCCCCACGTCCCCCCCATGTTCCCCATTGTGTCCCCATGATGTGTCCCCCACGTGCCCCTGATGTCCCCCCACGTGTCCCCATCGTGTCCCCAGGTCCCCCCCATTGTGTCCCCACAGTGTCCCCCCATGTCCCCCATTGTGTCCCCACACCATGTGTCCCCTCATATCCCCATTGTCCCCCTCTGTCCCGGTGTCCCCCATGGTGTCCCCATGTCCCCACCATGTCCCCATTGTCCCCCCATGTCCCATATCCCCAGTGTCCCCGGTCTCCCCATTGTCCCCCTGTCCCCCCCGTGTCCCCACGTCCCGGTGTCCTGGGTGTCTCCAGGGTCCCCAAGGTGTCCCCAGGGTGTCCCCAGGGTGTCCCCAGTGTCCCCAAGGTGTCCCCAAAGTCCTCTTGGGATCTTCCCACCTTGCCCAGGGTCCCCTTTGACTGCCACCACCCTGGTGACCCCAACCCTGGTGCCACCACCTTGGTGACCCCAGTCCCACCACCCTGGTGTCCCCAACCCTAGTGCCACCACCTTGGTGACCCCAACCCTAGTGCCACCACCCTGGGGACCCCCAACCTTGATGCCACCACCCTGGTGTCCCCAACCCCGGTGCCACCACCTTTGTGACCCCAATGCCACCGCCCTGGTGACCCCAACCCTAGTGCCACCACCCTGGGGACCCCCAACCTTGATGCCACCACCATGGGGTCCCCAATGCCACCACCTTGGGGACTCCAATGCCACCACCCCGCTGTCCCCAACCCTGGTGACCCCAGCCCTGGTCCCACCACCTTGGTGACCCCAACCCCGGTGCCACCACCCCGGTGACCCCAATGCCACCGCCCCGCTGTCCCCGGTGCCACCGCCCCGCTGTCCCCACCCTGGTGCCACCACCCCGGTGTCCCCGGTGCCACCGCCCCGGTGTCCCCGCAGGCGACGAGGACGAGGACGACGAGGGCCGCGAGGAGCGGCTGCCGTCGTGCTTCGACTACGTGATGCACTTCCTGACGGTGTTCTGGAAGGTTCTGTTCGCCTGCGTGCCCCCCACGGCGCTGCTGGGCGGCTGGGCGGCCTTCGGCGTCTCCATCCTCCTCCTCGCGCTGCTCACCGCGCTCATCGGCGACCTGGCCGCGCACTTCGGCTGCACGCTGGGCCTCAAGGACTCGGTCAACGCCGTGGTGTTCGTGGCGCTGGGCACCTCCAAGGTGTCCCCAGGGTGTCCCCAGGGTGTCCCCAGGGTGTCCCAAGGGTCCCCAAGGTGTCCCCGAGGTGTCCCCTGAGCAGCCACAGTGTCCCCCCACCATCCCCATGGTCCCCAAGGGGTCCCCAGGGTGTCTCCAGGGTCCCCAAGGTGTCCCCAAGGTGTCCCCAGGGTGTCCCCGAGGTGTCCCCAGTGTCAGTGCAGTTGGCACGGGGACCTTGAGGTGTCCCCAAGGTGTCCCCAAAGTCCTCTGGGGTTCTTCCCACCTTGCCCAGGGTCCCCTTTGACTGCCACCACCTTGGTGACCCCAACCCCGGTGCCACAACCCTGGTGACCCCAATGCCACCACCCCGGTGTCCCCAACACCGGTGCCACAACCCTGGTGACCCCGATGCCACCACCATGGTGACCCCAACCCTGGTGCCACCACCCTGATGTCCCCAACCCCGGTGCCACCACCTTTGTGACCCCAGTCCCACCACCCCGCTGACCCCAACCCTAGTGCCACCACCCTGGGGACCCCCAACCTTGATGCCACCACCCTGGTGTCCCCAACCCCGGTGCCACCACCTTTGTGACCCCAATGCCACCGCCCTGGTGACCCCAACCCTAGTGCCACCACCCTGGGGACCCCCAACCTTGATGCCACCACCATGGGGTCCCCAATGCCACCACCTTGGGGACTCCAATGCCACCACCCCGCTGTCCCCAACCCTGGTGACCCCAGCCCTGGTCCCACCACCTTCGTGACCCCAGTGCCACCACCATGGTGTCCCCAATCCCAATGCCACCGCCCCGCTGTCCCCGGTGCCACCGCCCCGCTGTCCCCACCCTGGTGCCACCACCCCGGTGTCCCCGGTGCCACCGCCCCGGTGTCCCCGCAGGCGACGAGGACGAGGACGACGAGGGCCGCGAGGAGCGGCTGCCGTCGTGCTTCGACTACGTGATGCACTTCCTGACGGTGTTCTGGAAGGTTCTGTTCGCCTGCGTGCCCCCCACGGCGCTGCTGGGCGGCTGGGCGGCCTTCGGCGTCTCCATCCTCCTCCTCGCGCTGCTCACCGCGCTCATCGGCGACCTGGCCGCGCACTTCGGCTGCTCTGATGTCCCCAATGTCCCCAACACTCTCAATGTCCCCAGACACGTTTGCCAGCCGCGTGGCTGCGCTGTCCCCAATGTCCCCAACATCCCAAAACCCCTGACATCCCCGATGTCCCCAACACCTCTGATGTCCCCAATGTCCCCACCATCCCCAGACACGTTTGCCAGCCGCGTGGCCGTGCTGTCCCCAATGTCCCCAACACCCCTGACATGTCCCCACCTGTCCCCAGACACGTTTGCCAGCCGCGTGGCCGCGCTGCAGGACCCGTGCGCCGACGCGTCCATCGGCAACGTGACGGGCTCCAACGCCGTCAACGTCTTCCTGGGGCTGGGGCTGGCCTGGTCGGTGGCCGCGGTGTACTGGGCGGCGCAGGGCCGGCCGTTCCGCGTGCCGCCGGGCACGCTGGCCTTCCCGGTGACGCTCTTCACCATCTTCGCCTTCCTCGCCATCGGCGTGCTGCTCTGGCGGCGCCGCGCGCCCATCGGCGGCGAGCTGGGGGGGCCCCGCGCCACTGGGCATACTGGGAGCACTGGGAGCACTGGGAGGGACTGGGAGCACTGGGAACACTGGGGGAGCAATGGGGACACCATGGGGACAGGGACAGGGGGACAGGAACAGGGACAGGGGGACAGGAACCAGCCCTTGGCCAGCCTGGAGGCCACTGCCACATCCAGGGCTTCTGATCTGGGCATACTGGGCATACTGGGAGGGACTGGGATGCACTGGGAGGGACTGGGATGCACTGGGGGGGCCCCGCGCCCCCAAGATCCTCACGGCCGGGCTCTTCCTGCTGCTCTGGCTGCTCTACGTGCTCTTCGCCAGCCTGGAGGCCTACTGCCACATCCAGGGGTTCTGACTGGGGGGACTGGGAGCACTGGGAATACTGGGATGGGCTGGGACGGGCTGGGAACACTGGGGGAGCAATGGGGGACAGGGACAGGGGGACAGGAACCAGCCCTTGGTCAGCGTGGAGCTCCTCTGGGCCAGCCTGGAGGCCTACTGCCACTGGGATGGGCTGGGACAGGCTGGGAACACTGGGGGACACCGTGGGGACAGGGACAGGGGGACAGGAACAGGGACAGGGGGACAGGAACCAGTCCATGCCACCCCACAGCTCCTCTGGGCCAGCCTGGAGGCCACTGCCACATCCAGGGGTTCTGACTGGGGGGACTGGGAGCACTGGGAATACTGGGATGGGCTGGGACGGGCTGGGAACACTGGGGGAGCAATGGGGGACAGGGACAGGGGGACAGGAACCAGCCCTTGGTCAGCGTGGAGCTCCTCTGGGCCAGCCTGGAGGCCTACTGCCACATCCAGGGGTTCTGACTGGGGGGACTGGGAGCACGGGGCATACTGGGATGGGCTGGGACGGGCTGGGAACACTGGGGGAGCAATGGGGGACAGGGACAGGGGGACAGGAACCAGCCCTTGGTCAGCGTGGAGCTCCTCTGGGCCAGCCTGGAGGCCACTGCCACATCCAGGGGTTCTGATCTGGGCATATTGGGAATACTGGGAGGGACTGGGAGCAGTGGGGGGACTCGGGGAGCAATGGGGACACCATGGGGACAGGGACAGGGGGACAGGAACCAGCCCTTGGCCAGCCTGGAGGCCACTGCCACATCCAGGGCGTCTGACTGGGCATACTGGGAATACTGGGAGGGACTGGGAATACTGGGGAAACTGGGGGAGCAATGGGGGACACCGTGGGGACAGGGACAGACAGACAGGGAGCAGCCCTTGGGGACCCCTCCAGCCCTTGGGGGTCACTGCCACATCCAGGGATTCTGATCTGGGGATACTGGGCATACTGGGAGCACTGGGAGGGACTGGGAATACTGGGGAAACTGGGGGAGCAATGGGGGACACCGTGGGGACAGGGACAGACAGACAGGGAGCAGCCCTTGGGGACCCCTCCAGCCCTTGGGGGTCACTGCCACATCCAGGGCTTCTGACTGGGCATACTGGGGATACTGGGAGGGACTGGGAGGGACTGGGAGCACTGGGAGCATGGGGCACAGGGGGCGCGGGGCCATTGTCACCCCCCCGGGGTCCCCCCCAATGTCCCCTCACCCACCCCAGGGACCCTTGGGCCGCCTCAGGGACCCCCAAACCCCCCCTGGAGACCCCAAAACCTCCCCAGGACCCCCCAAATCCCCCCCAAGGGACCCCAAACTCCCCCCAGGA